TCAGCAAAGGAGGACACCCTATATATTCTCCCAGACTACCATTTATTAAAATATATCCAAGTATTAGAGAAAACATTCTTTTACTTTATGTTCTTTTCCATAAAGTTTTCAAATAGTTGATTCAGAGAGTCTTTACTTCCAAGAAGACTGTGTTGTAAAATTGCTTATTATGCCATCTTTTTCTTCTTTTATCTCACGTCTTACACGTTGCTTTTCTCAGCTTGCACCATACTTAATAAGTGAGAGTCCTGAAGAGAATTTTAAAGAAAGAAGCCTTTGCGTTTGGAAAAATAAACATTGCTTCTGGCAAAATATTCTTACTGTGTTTTCTTTCTCATTCCAGATTTTTGACCAGCTCAGTCTGGAGGTTTACGTATTTATATTTAACTTTAATTTATCTTACCCAGGGGCTTTTAGCTATAATTTCCTCTGAAATAAGTTTGATGAATCAGCAACTGGATGTCTATTATGCCTTCTTCCATGTTTCTTTAATGGACCTCATGTTTTCTTAGTTGTAGTTTTTCTTTGAAAAACTACAAAAAAGTGAAGACTACCAAACCTTTTTGTACATATTATCTATGAATCCATTAGTCATTCCCCATATGTCCTGCTGCTTATTGCCACGGCTATGCAGTTTTTGATATATACATACATATATATATGTATTAAAGGTAGCTTTAGTATCTCTGACCTGTATTGTAATTTGTAGGATAAATGTATGATCATAGGTGATCATAGCTGGTTTAGGCTCTGGAGAAGCTGCCCTCTTGTTAGAGTCCAGAACCAAGGCTTGAGAGCCAGGATCTTGTTCCTCACAGCATGATCTTAGGTAAGTGAATTTGTTAGTGCATGCCTCAATTCACCCAAATGGATGTCCTTTGGAAAGCATTGTGGATGAAAAGCACTGTATAAGTGTTTGGTGAGATGAAAAAATCATTTGAGGGATTATGGTTTCATGCATTATGACCTAAACTGAGATATATTTCAGATACCAGCTTTAGAGTTAGATATAGCTCTTATGGATTTGAATGAGAATTTGTAACTCCAAATACCAAATGAAGTTCATTCATCTGTCTATGTTACATATTAATGTACCCAAAGGCAATATTTGGCCCTCTGCTTTCAGCTAAGCTGTAAATGGTATGGAAAATTTATGTAACAGTGGCATTAAGAACTTAATTGCTTTAAAGCTAAATTGCTACAAAGGCTGTTCTACCAATGATCTACAGTTAAAGATTTGTGCATTATGGTGAATTTGAAAATGAAGGTCCATCTTTGGAGAGTAACCCATCTATCTAGTAATATGGAACTGAAATGCTACCACTGGATCATCAGCGTTGTTGCCTGAACATGTAAGCCTTCAATGGTGAATTTATTATAAATGCATTTCCAAACACAATCCAGAATTCCCCCTTCTCTCATAAAATGAAATGTCACTATTTTCTTAATATTTTTAATTTCTTCTACTAAATAAAAAGATTTCTTACAAGTGAGCTTTTAAAAAATTATGTATGCTGTTCATATTGTTTGCAGGGAAAATCATTGGAAGGGGTAACCTGGTATATTATTGCTTTCACACATTCTGACTACTATCCCAGATTATAAATTCATGTTTCTCCTTTGCTTTCTCTGGCACTTACTGCAAGGCAAATAAAATATACAACTTTTATTCTTGCTTTATTCTTCCCTATAAATATTTGATTAGGCAACAAAGTATTGTGCTAATAAGCCTTACTGGCTTATACGGACTTGTTTTTCAGGTCATCCTCTAAGAAGGCCTAACCACATCCAAGGGAGAGCTGTAGCCAGACATCAGATCCTAAGAAGGAAAACGTGCCTGGTCTGAGAAGGATGGCTCACAGATTTCTAAGCTTAAAATGGAGGGGACGGGGAACTTCAACACAGCAGAATCGCCACTGGTTGCATGTGGAAGGTACCCAGCATAGACACTGTATTTAAAAATGATTACACCAGAAGTAGACCAAAGCAACTGTGTTTTGGTCTGGAGTAGGTTTATACAGAAATTGGATTCAGCAAGGCTAGGATTTTACATCTCGGAAACTCTTCACAGTTTCCATGGCATTTTTATTTCAATTAAGTCAGAATGAGAGCCTAGGTTCCTTGGATGTAGGAAGTAATCTGAAGTCAAAATAAACGTTTTAGAGGCACCATCTGAAATCAAGGGGTAATTTAGAAGAATGTGTCATGATATTGCCCATCTCAGTAGTATGTTTTCTGCTGCTGCTTGAGCAGAGTGCTTCTAGTAAACATTGCAACAGCTGCAGCTGAGCTGTTGGTTTTGTGTGCCCCACGCGTTGCAGACTGCTGTGGAAGATCTGTGATTTGGAGCCAGGTGTCCCGTGCTTGAGCTCGTGGGAGAGCACTCCTGTTACCACCAGTGATAAGGAGGTAAGCCCTGGAGAAGCTGCCTGTGACTCCAGGCCAGGAGAGCTCCAGCTGAGGCTTGCCTTGCCAGCAGCACAGGTCTGCCCAGCCTGCGTGGGCTGGGGAGGAGTGAGGAGGTGAAGGTGACCGCGGTGGTGGCTGAGGCTGATGGCATCTCCTTGCTGAGGATGTGCCTCAGACAGTGCCTGCAAGCTGCTCAGCTAGCTGACGCACTTACCTGGCTCCCCGGGGCTCTTCGGCAGTGATAACTGCCTTTTACCCAGTTATTTCTAGCCTGTTTCTACAAAGTTTGGAGGAAATTGACATCTCTGACACCCCTGCTTCCTTGTTGCACTTGATTGAAAATTTCCAAATGTTAAGAGCTCACTGACAGAAGAAGAGACACAGAAGTCTCCTTTTCTTAGGAAACAGGAAAAAATGGTTATTATTACTGCATTTTCAACACCCCAAATCTCTTCCAAGGCTCACAGCTTTATGGCATGTCGATGGGACACAGCTCTTACCATAAGGAGCTTGTCATACATGTATGTTTTAACAAGATAGACAACAGAGACAAACAATTTCAAAGTGTTTAATACATCACTTCAGAAACAATTATGTTTTCAGAATTGGAGTCCAGAAGCTGCCTGCTGCCGTGTGTGCTTGGAGTCGTTTCCATTTACTGCAGATTTAAAAATCCAAATATTGAATTTGGTTGTGTGTAATGTATTTGGGGGAACGGGACATTAAAAGAAATTTTCAAGTGCTCTGCCTACCCTATGTAATACTATATCCCAAAGCCCAAATTGCACTGTAATGTTACTTAACAATGCAATGAGCTGTAAAATAGACAGTTTTTATGCAGCTGAGCCCTCAAGCTTATTCCTACTTTTAAAGCACTGGTTTCTTACTGTGGAAACAAACAACTGAATAATATACATTGCTTTCTTTCATGTTCTTTATGCCACTATTATTTTTGACCAGGCAGGACAATAATATAATCTAAATGATCTAGATCGCTAGTTTTCTTCCTTAATAGGAAAGATAATGAATGGCTTTGTTTTGATGGCTTTATTGCCTGCAAGATAATGAAATATCCCAGCATGGATTTCATTAAGCTTTCTCTAGTCTCGCTATGATACACCCATTAAGAGGCCAGATCTCTTTGATGTGAAGGGAAGGAGATATTTCAAACAGTTTAACACATTGTGAAAATCTGGGCACAGTTGCCACCAAAGGAGTCGCTGGGTCTTTAGATCAAGGCTGGTTTTGGCCAAGAAAAACAGAAGCACTGATTCAGCTTATCAACGGGGAGTAGTTCATGATGCCATAGGTGTGAGGCTGGGAGAGCTTTGGCATTTAAACTTCCTTGTCATTCACAGGGTTCTAGGTTAAAGAGCGTGTGCTTCTTAAATACCTGAATACTCACACTGGTTTCATTCACTGGCTTCCAGGAGATGGCGAGGAGCATAGGGCAGTCTTATTCCTTGCTGGTCTGGTCCCATGGAGAAGAGATTCAACATCAAGATAGCTGCAAGGAAGGACTTAAGGCTTTGGCTGGGAAGCAGTTTAACAACCTTAGGCTCAAATAAAGAAGGTTGTAAATAGTCAAATCGCCCTGTATTCTCATCCTGAGGATGGAAGAAGGCTAGGACTGGAGGGGAGAATATGAGTCCCCTGAGGTATTTTTCAACTAAAAAGTCATATTCTTGTTGTTACGAACAGCTGCATGTTTATTTATACAATGAAAACAACAAGTACAAGGTCCATGTTGGAAAAAAAAACAGGAAGACACACTGTATGAATACAAGAATATTATCTATTTGATCCTTACATGAACAGGAGAACTTCGGGGCTGGAAGTATGACAGGCCAGAGAGTAAGGTTATGCACTGATGTAAAAAGAAAAAAAAAAAAAATCAGTTTGTTCTATTTCTCTCTCTCTCTCTCTTCTCTTTTTTTTTTTTTTTTCTTTGCAATTGTTCCTGAAGAAAAAAGGCTCACACAGATTAAGGTTTAATATATGCCTTTTGGATTCAAGTGCACAGGAACCATAGAAACCCATAGAGAGAAATGCTGCAGTAAGTAAAATTGTAATCATAATAATAATTAAAAAAAAAAAAAGGAGGCTGAGGAGAATTGGAGCACCACAAGGTACCAAGGCAATGAGTTGCACCATGGCCAACATTTTATCATTTCTTTCTTTTTGCCTTGTTATCTCTGTGGTAGGCAATTGCCATCTATAACCAGTGTTTGTTTTTTCCTATAAAGGTATTATAACAATGTCCCACATAGTAAATAATAATAATATATTAAAAATAAATAATTGGCAGCAACTCTTTAATGAATTAATGCAGGGAAAAGAGATTAATACTTCTTGCAGTAGTCTCCTTCAGAAGGCCCATGTACTCCATATAACAAGATGCGTGTACCAAAGGAAGAGGATCACAGAGGTGATGCCTGCCCAGGTTTTACCTGGGTTCCTCCCTCTCCAAGGAACAACGTCAGTGGGGATTACCAAACAGACTTGACTGCACCACTGCTGACAGCAGGATATGCTGTGACTTGAGATGAAGAGGTGAAAGTGGGTTTCCGTTCTTCCTTCCTTCTCCTTTCATACTTGCCTGAAATTGGATTAGTTCTTTGCTGTGACTGAAGCTACAGTGACAGCTTCCTAAAGGTGGCTGGGCAATAGACCTTGCCCCATGGTTTTCCTACGAAGTACAAGTCAGTTCATACCTTAAAAAATCAGGATAGCTGATAGCTAGCACAGACTGAAACAAGATTTCAGGTCTTCAACCTATGCTGTGAAGAATTAATTGATATCCTAAGAGTTAAGTGTTGTCTTCTTTCCCACCAGTGTGGATAAGGAAGCTGAAGGGAGATGACAGAGTGCTTACCTGGGCGACTTGCCTGTCTCCATGACTGCTGCAGACAGGTAACAGTTGGATCGGTGGCTCTCTGTGATGAGGCAAAACAGCAGAAGTGTCGTGCCTGGTCTCATCACTCACAGGCTCTGCACATCTAATGTAGTTTTGTTTAATGACACCTGCTTGTTAAGATTACTGAAGCCAAATTATTTTGGGATAAAAATCAGAGAGATATTTGCTCATTGATGAGCCATATTTAGACGGTTTCACTGTGTCTGGCCTGTTTTTTTTTTTTTCAAAACCATGCAAATTTATGACTTTTTTTTTTTTTTTGCTTTGTTTTGTTTAATAAATCATGATCTTATGCATATTTGAATTACCTTTCTCTTCATGCATTTTCAGAATTCCTACTCACAAAAGAGGAGACACAGGGAATAGGTCAGCCTTCTCCCATAGCTGATGGGTACCACTGAGGATCCTGTTATAAACAAAGAGTGCACATTACTTTGCTCTTTTCCAGGTAAGCCATCCCCCCAACATCTCCAATGCAAATGTTTATCAACTGCTGAAAGTATATCCAGCAGCATCTGGATATTCCTCACTTTCCTTTTTTTTATTAGCATTATGTGGGCTAAATTGTGGCAGCAAACAGATGCTCTGGGACATAAACTTTGTGCTAAGTATTTTCACAGCATAAATTTAGGATAGAGACAGATGATTCCTCCTGGAATACCTGTGATGATTTCAGAGGTGATTGCTCCCCCAGGTGGAGGAAAAATGAGGTCTCTTCTTCCACTTCAGGGCAAGTAAGACAGGGTAGGTTAAACTGGCTTCTAGTGAATATTAAATAAATCCAGCAGCTGGCACAGGACTGATTAAGGAGAGCTCAAGCAATCAGTTCTCCTGATTTGCACAGAGTAGTGCTCACCTCCAGCAGGGAAGCAATAGCACACGGATTGACAGTCATTGCTGCACAGCACATCTGACCATGGCTAAATTAGCCTCTGAGGCCCCAGCCCAAGCAATTGAGTAACAAGTTTTTGGAGCCAGTCCTTAGAAGGTTGAATTTCTCAGATAAGAAATGGAACAAACATACAAACAAACCACCCAGGCTCAAGCCCATAGCAGGTCAGATAATAAAATGTTCAGTTTTATTTCTTCCCCAGTGGCTTGAAAGGATGATTATAACTGATCATCAAAGTGTGCTCTGACAGCTACTCCCAAACTCACTGAGACTTAAAGAGGTTAGGAGAGAATCCCCCTAGGCATTCTGGTGAAGGAGTTATTGATGGCTCTGTTGCATGGTTGGATAAAGCTTGGTTACCTCCTGTGTTGTGGACCAGGAATGATCCACACACCTGCTGGAAGAGTGACAGGACTCAGCAATTAATGCATTAAATTTGCCTTACTGCTTTTTTTTTTTTAATATTTATTGATTGCTTTTATTTGTTAATGTATTCATTGTATATTTATTGATTTAAATTTCTTTGGTTTTAGAGGAAATATTCATCACTATTCTCTCACAGGCAGGGGGAGTGTTCTCTCCTGCTTAGTGATGTGCCATATCCACTGCTTCCTTCCAGGCTTTCTTCCTGTCCTTGTCCTGGCTTTCCACATCGGCCGAGTCAGCACCTCTTGGACTGCAGTGAAGTTTCTCTCTGGCTTGCATCCAGTGAGCTTTCTGCCCATGGAAATCACCTTGGTGAGGATGCTGGGACAAGCCAGGTCTTCCACAGAGTATGGAATCAGGCCATCACCTGGCTCAACATGGTCCTCTTGGTCCTCTTCCCACAGCTTTTTTTTCCTTCTAGTTCCCTGAACCCTGTGTGCCTGGCCAGTCTTCTCCTGTCCTGTTATTGTGATTTGTACTTCTTGCTCATTCAAAGTGGGTCTGCTCCCTCCCTTGGGTTGCATAGGTACCACCAAAGGCATAATTGAGCATAAATACTTTGCTTGTCCCAGATAGGTCTGGAATGGCTGAGAAAGGTGTTCAGGGGACTTTCCCTGTACTTTGGTACACTGAAGGTCCTCTGGGTTGTGTCAGTGAGGGAGCTGGGTGCAGTGTGCTCAGGAAGGGCTGGACCTCTGGGCATTGAAGATGTCAGATACTCTACAGAGCATCTATGGGGAACCGTGAAGCTTAGCTGAGTTTAGAGGGGTTCCCCTATGAGACTCTGTGCAAAGGTAAAAGTCACATTCCTGACACCAGCTTTCACTTTCTATGGCACTTCAAACCACTCCTCCAAAGCAAGGGGCAAAAAGGCAGAAAGAAAAGCAAGGAACAAGACCATTTTTTGGCTATTTTTGTTCTTGGAAATGGTTGGCCTCTTCTTGCTAAACTTTACCGGAAGGATCAGTCAAAATTAGATATCACATATGGAAAATTTCAGTCCAGACAGATGAAGTTTTGCAAGAAATAATTAGCTCAGAAGTGGGCCTTTGAATAGGAAATGCTCAGCCACCTTCGTAGCAGGCAACACTACTAAATTTGCTATGACTAAGCCTTGGTATTGATTTTGTTGGCTGGTAGTGGAGAGATAGTTTGTCTGACTCCTGTAATTTAATTCAGTTAATTAGAACAAATGGCTATGTCATTTGCCAGGACCACTGCCTACTTGCCTGTTTTCTTTTTCCACGCATAACTTCTCGTATGCTGCCACAAGAACCATTAAACCACGGAATAAAGTTCCCACAAACCGACACTGTCTTTTTATATCTGAATTCTATCTCTTTGCTGAAGCTAAGCCAAATGTTTAACTAACCACACTGTATGATTTCCAAGACTCCCAATGGGAACTGCCCCTATCCAATTAGGGTATTTTAGTCATGGTGCTACTAGTGCGGAGGGTCACACAGTGCGAGGGCCTCCCTTTAAAAAGAAGATAGCTGCAGTGGCTGTTTATGTTTGCTTGGTGAGTCACAGGCTGTGGAGATAAGCTTCAGAGTGAATGAGACAAGGAGTCTAGGTTTGGTAACCTTGCCAGACTGCATCTTAAGCCATTTGCTGCCTGAACATGTCTCCGTCCTGACACCAGGTTTTCAGAGTTGTCAGTCAAAGGGCATTTTAAAGCAGCTAAGCACAGGTTTTGTGCTATCCTTTGTCACCTTGTTTTTCAGTTTAAGAGGCAGCCAGCTAAATCTGTTTCTGAGTATTGTAGATGATGTTGCACTCAGGGGCTGTTAGTGTAGGGGCAGATGTGGAATAAGGCTTTTCTCCCTCTGCCTCTCTCCAGAGAGGAAATTCAATCAAGCTGTTATTTTGCTGTATCTAGAAAATAGGAAACTTCCTGTGTTGTTCACAAAGGGTGGTGCTGATTAGGAGAAAATTGGTACAAAGAGTGCTCAGCTGGAACGGGAACAAAGGAGAGGTGACAAGCCCAGGACATGTTTCCACAGTGAACATTGCTGTACAGGGCCATACCATGAGTTTTTCTGCCCCGGCTCTTCATTCCAGCATAATCTTTTTCTTCATCTCCTCCTCCTCCTCCAGGGAGCCTCATCTACGCCCCACAGGAATGCTACTCATCCGTACGGCAGGGCAGGGAGCCAGGAGGGCTGCCTTTAGGGGCAGGTGGGGAAAGCCCAGCTCTCCTCCCACCCTTTGTCTCTGCTGCTGAGCACCAGGAGTTGCTTTTGGAGCAGGTGGTGGAGTCAGGAGGTAAGAGGCACTGGAGCTGGGTTGTGCAGAGCGGCTGGGTTGGGCCGTGCTCTGTTCGGTGACGCCAGGCAGGGCGTGATGTCTGTGCTCTGAATGCTGTGTGTTTTATTTATAAACATGTGCCTGAACAACTCGAGGATTGCTGGTTGTACGTTTGTGTAACACTGCAATACACTCAAAGTGGCGGATCGCCCATCAGCAGGCTGAACTCGTTCCTGCCCCCGTTTGGTATGACAGCAGAGCACTTCAAAGCCCAAGGTGCTCTGAAAAGGGCATTAAATGTTCTCACAAAAACCCAGGTGAGACATGCTTAAGTAATGCTAACCCTTTGCTGGGTCCCATTTTATTAATGAAAACATAGCCTATCACTCTGGTCTCGACTTTCCTCATGGGTTTATCAGGTCTTTTGGCTCTACCCACATGGGCTTCAGACAAACCACATCTCCACCTTCTCTTTTTGAAGGGTTAATTTTTTTAAAAGTGGTTTGATGTCAAAAGCAACCTGTCCTCATAGCCTTCTACATCAATCAATAGGATGATTAGTGACTAGCCACAGAAAACTAAGCAAAGACTAGAACAAGTGGCACAATCTGAGGAGGAAAGCGGTACTTTTCAGTCCTCACAGAAACCAAAATTAGTTTTTAACACCCTGTGGTGCGGTGAGAATCTTTAGCAATCAGCGTTCAGAGAACGGCTCGGATATGTCTGAGATGACACCCAGCATCAAATGCTGCTGGCTTCTCCCGTGGATCCTAGAGGACATCAGAAAATGTGCTTGGTAGCTGCCATGGTATGGTGAGTGTAATCTGGAAAGAGAAGGACCTCCCCAGGCAGGAGAAAACTCCACTGACATGCAAAGCTGGCTGCTGCATAGGCTGCCATATCCTTTCTTGCACAGACTCCAAAAGAAGACGTACAGCAGCAGTGCGGATAGGCTTCAGCCCAGCTGTGTGTTGTTGGACTGGAGGCCTAACAGTTTCAAAGAACCAAGGAGCGGGGAAGACTTTCTCATCACTGCCAACCATAGAGCTTGGGCTTTCTTTGCACCGAGTTTTCAGCCCCATTGCCTTTGGAGGCTGGTTTAGTTTGAACCCTCTGACAGAGCACTGTCCCACAGGGTCTGAGCAGGGCCAGGTGGTGACAGAGGTGGGATCCACCAGCAGTCACAGCTGAGGCAAGGTAACAAGTCAGACTGGAGCCTGGTTCAACACCAACAGAGGCATGCCATGACATGGGTTTGAGGTTCATACTGCTGGCCAGGACTGGAGACACAACTCTGATTGGGATGCCCAGTTGATGAGGGAGGCCCAAAGGGCACAGGGCTGGGCTCAGCCAATCTGCAGTGCAGCCCAAACAAGGATGGGGCAGGGCAGCTCCTGGTTTACACATTTCAAATCTTAACACTTGGCTTTCTCTGCAGGGGTTTTGCAGCATACTGTTTTGTAACAAATGTCTTGTTTTGTTAAGCTGCTGATATGGTGAACAATGCATTAATACAGGCCTCATAACTTATGCTTTTCTGTACTTCATCACTATTATGAAGTCCTTTATGAAATATTAAGAGTCGAGTCAAATGATGCCATTTCAGGAATAGCACTGAACATCTTGACAATGAAATTAACTTCTTCAAACCAAGATCACCTCATTGTTTTTATTAAAACAGAGTATTTGGTTTGATAAGAAACAAGGAACAAAATGAGCTGAAAGCAATGTGAAACAAAACATCTTGTATTTCCCATAATCTATAAATGACATTCTCCAGATTTATGCACACGCACTTATTTCAGTGTGTGGGCCCAGAAAACAGCGCTGGGATGGTTAAAGTGTGGTGGAGAGTACTCTAAGCGCAAATTTCTGTAACCCTGGCAACATCCTGACTTGAAAATGTCTAGCTTCTTTCTTTGTCTGCCTTGTTTCTCTTAAAACTAACAATGAGGTTAAATTTACTAGTTTTCTTACAACACTACAAATACACGTGAAGATAAACACTTCAAGTGATTATGAAGACATTAGCAAGAATGGCACTGAGAGTGACATTTTATTACTAATTTTACTAGAGAAAATGTACAGACTGTATTGTGTGCTGCATAATTGTTTCACACACCTTTGACTTTTTTTTATGAAGTTATCCCTCTGCTTGCTCATGTAAATGTGTTTGAGAACATTAATATTTGAGTACTTCTCCAAGTTAAAAACATGCTAAGAATTCCAATATGACTGAGGAAACTAACTTCCCAGGTGTAGAATGAAGAGAAATGGCAATAACAGCAGGGCACTGTTTTTTTTTTGTTCTTTTTTTTTGGATTTTTTGTTAGTGACAGGCTTCCTCATTAATTGTCCACAGAAAAATCCAAAGGGACCATTAACACCATATACGTGATTTTCACAATAGTGGCCTCTGAGCCTTATTTTATGTGTCAAGTCTGTGGTTATGGAATTAATTACAGTGTCTTTTGAAAGACTCCCAGGCTGGATCTCATTTTTCCTGGCTTCAGGTACCTATAATGTTCATGAAGACTTGTTGCATTTGAGCTATTTAGAATCTCTTCAGAATCCAAACAGAGAAACAGGCACTTGTAAGACTGATCAGCAAAACAGAAGGGATCTATCAACCAAAAAATTACAATTCAGAAATCAAGAAGATTATGACTGAAGTCAACACTTCCAGAAAGGCACTCATTTAGAGTTTGTAATGCACATTCAAACGAGTAAGATATGTTTCTTCATTAATATAGGTGCCCAAATAGACACATTATGGTAATCTAAAGATATCCTTACAAATAATTCTACTTTATCTCATTTTTAATTGAACCAAGTAATTCTGAACTTGGTGATAAAATATGTTGATTCACATTTGAATTCAAAGAGCTGAACGCTGATAAACTATGTAGTAAGGCAATATTCAGAATTATTGAAAGAGTAATTAAAAGCAAGCAACTGGATGGGTAATGGGATAAAACACAACATGATTTATAGTCTCCTGACAATAGATTGTGCCAATTTTACTGAATACTTACCTCTTATGAGTTAATTAATTTTTGATACAGGGGAAATGAAATAGCTCCAGTCTGTCTGGACTTCAGTAAACCATTTCCTCATTGGAAATGATTAATCTGTCTGGAGTTTTGTGTATTGGTTGGTATGATAGTTAAGGAAATGGCAAATAATCAGACGGCAAGAAGCATGCAGTGGAGGGGAACTAATCAATAGGAAGAAAGAGAAGACTCGGATTCCTCAGGGTTTGGATGTGGAACTCAGAAACATCTTAGAGTTTGTCAGAAAAAGCAGGAACACACTGGTGAACCCTTTTCATCATAACAGCTGGGAGGTAGGAGCAGTACAGGAACAACAGGATGGTCTTAAATCTTGACATAATAGAGGAGTAATGAAATTGTAAAAGTCAGAATTACAATGTTGCTAAGTAGCAAAAATTCCTGCTGTAAGCTGGAATTCATCAGCTGGAAACAAATGAGGAAGGAAAATGACCTTGTAATACTGAACAGCTGCAGGATGAACAGGTTGAGATGCAACTGTGGGAGGGCTGAAGAGGGGTCTTTGAAGAGGGATCACGCAAAGTACATCCTGAATTGACTGGAAAAATCTCATTTACCCTACCTGAAGCACTGGTATTTCTCACCCAGAACATTGTACATTGCTGAGAGGATCCATCCTTTTTGAAGAGGAATATGAAGTTGGATAAAAGGTAGAGAGGATGCCCAGAAGAGAGGAGAGCCTGTTTTCTTACAGTTAACCAAGGGGCTTTACTGCATTTAGCTGACCTAAATGTTGATACAAGAATGACTGGAAAAACATGGACAAGAATAATTTCAAAGTGGAAATGTTCCAACTGGTAGTTGGTTTCTAGTAAAAACAAAAACAAAAACAAACAAACAAACAAAAAAGCCAACAAACGACAATGTTATGTACTTGTCTCTTCATGAAAAAATGTGTACGACATGGCTGATAGAGATGACAGAAGTCTGTAGGTCTGGTTCTGATGATCTGAGAAGATGCTTCAATCTTCTTTGCTCAATGAATCTCCTCTCATTGTCATTTTCTCAAGAAGTAGAGAAGAATTTTGGTAAAAATCCACTGAGTTCTCATGTCTTTCAAATAGGCATGCAACGGCAATGTGAAAAGGGGACATAATTAATGTCTAAGTATTGATCTCATCAGATATTCAGTATGGTGGTTTATATGAAAAAAAATCAAATTAAAATAAACAGTGTGTGTAGAATACAATTTTTCAGTAATAAGGAATATGTAATGAAGAAATGTTCTTCATATATATATAGATAATCAATTGCTGGTCTTCTTACACTCAATATTTCTCATCTAAAAATCTAACATAAAACGTGGAGGTAACTATACAAATGTGTGTTATAATATATAGATATGTACAGGGTTATTCAATACAATTATAGAATAGGAACAGGTTGTACAAGAAAGCAACACATTTAAATAATCTTAACTGTGAATGTTAAGTTAAGGGAGAGTCTATAAAAGTCTGTTTACTTGTGTGACCATTTTAGACACCTTGTGACACTCTGTATGAAACAGAAAATATAGTGTAGAGTACATAGGGCTAATAGGACCAAATCACGAGAGGGATGGTGATGCTAACATAAATGTTTGCCTACTAAAAAAGGTATGCTGAAAAAGGAGAGGTCTTGCAGGACACAGATGTCAGTTTTGCACTTGACAAAATTGTCCCTGAAATTCAGATATTTTCTGAGTTTGCTGCTTGTACTTTAAGTGGTCTCTTGTGAGCAGCTGTTTACAGTGTGAGTGGCATGGTGAAGTGATAGGATGGGACTTTTTATTTATTGAGATTTACAGAAAACACCAACTTCTCTTTGCTGCCTGGTGTTGCTGCTGTTTTCAGAACTCAACAGCATATTTTGGGTCATTTTTTTCCATGAGTTTGGAAACAAAAACAAAAGCTGCATTATATAACTGTGCATAATAACTTAACTGTCCTTTTGTATTTATTTCT